GTGTGTGTGTGTGTGTGTGTGTGTGTGTGTGTGTGTGTGTGTGTGTGTGTGTCAGCCGGGTGTGGTAGCACATGCCTGTAATCCCAGCACTCTGGGAGGCAGAGGCAGGTGGATCTCTGTTAATTCAAGGCCAGCCTGATCTACAAAAAAAAGTCCAGGACAGCCAAGGCTACAAAGGGCGCTGCTGCTGTCAGCTTTGGTCAGAAAAATCTTCCCTTTGCAATGGCTGGTGATGACTACAGGGTCCCATGAGAACTGAGAACGAGCGGCTGCTGGGTACCCAGCCTCCAATGTGACATCCTACCAGCCCTCCAGGGCTCAGTTAACATCACAGAGAAGAGGGTGAAGAGAAGGGCCCAGCTGGAGAAAGAGGCAGCGTATGGGGGAATAATGTCTCCCAGGCAAGGCATGGCCGTTGCACTCTTGAGTTCAGCAGCTCTGAGCAAGACCTACGGAAGACTCGGCCTCCCTCTCGATGCCCTGAGACGGAAGCAGGACTGGCTCGTGAGGGCCCACGATTTACAGGCAGCAGCTGCTGGTTGAAGGGTACGGCGAGACATTTTCTTCAGTGATGTAGCATAAAGGTATAAGGAGGACCAGTTAGGGGAAGGGAGAGGGTCATTGGGAGGGGGACAGAGGGAAAACAAAGGGCAATGACTATGATCAAAATGCATTGTATACAAAAGACTGAGTATGGCTAATATATGCAAAATATATATATTTTTAAGTTGGCATTCTGTCTTTGGGTGTGCAGCCATCCCCTGACACACACTCACGCATTCAAATACTCCAGAATCCCTCTGCTTTCTCTAAAAGGAAATTTTAAAGTTCAGTGATGAGAAGAAAAGGACAACTATATACTCTCTGCTCAGAGCCGTGGCGGGGTCCTAAGTTAGCCCGTTTTTTTGTTGGAAGGCAAAGAATACAGGAGCCCCTTTCTACCAGGTAGTGAGGGCTGGTGTTTACCCATGTACGGCTGTCAAAGATGATCTAGGACTTACTGGAATATCTTAGGCCTCTGTCAAATCTTCCATCCAAGAATCACCCGCTTAGCAGAACGAGCCGTGTTGTTTCACTCATATAAGGATCAGGTTTTAGAGTTGGCTCTTTAAGGATCTGAGAACAATGACCTGGTACTAGTATGTGCTGGCTTCAGGGAAAACCTGCGTGAAAGATGCTGGTCTGGGGCCAAGTCTAAAGGTCAGATTTTTTACTAATTCTCAAACGATACCAGGATCAGGCTCCTGGTTTCCTTCTGGCTTCATGAGTGCTTGTCTAGCTGAGGAAGGGGACCACAAAAAGTCTAATTATAAAGGTTTTGTCTTATCCATTCCCTCTATCCCTGGAGACAGGGAGATTTTTAAGCATTTAATATCAGTGTGGCCCACTGCCCAAGGAGGAGCCCACAGCTGAATGTCCAAAGAGCTGGGAGCTACCAGGCAGTCACTAAAAAAGGCAAGATGATGGCTAAGGAGACAGGAAGGCTGTCACTACTGTACCTTGGCGCTTTCTCCATGACCTAACCTTGTGGGTCCATCATCCTGAGAAGTCTCCCTGGGAGTGTCCGTGTCCTCTTCAGAGCATTCAGAGCGCACTGTGCTCCCTAAGCAAGAGAGAGGATAAGCAATGGGGCTTAATTCCAACCAGCACGGTGATGCCGCGGCCCCACTCCATCCTCTTGATCCCCACTTTGGCCTTTGCTCTCCCCTAAGGACAGCTCCAAGTTCTCAAGGGACACAAAGCAGTGGTAGGTGGATCAGTAGCTCAGCTAGGAGAGCGATCGGCAGGTGCGATGCTCTGGCTTCACTCCCCAGCACCACAGAAACCATGTGTGGCGTGCACACCTGGAATCCCAGCAGAAACTCACAAAGTCATCCTCAGGGACACAACATGTCCGAGACCAGTCTGAGCTACAAGAGTCCCTGCTTCAAAAATAGCAAAATGGTGCCGCTACTCAAGCCTTTCCTAGCTGGAATGGGGATCTGTCCTTCCAAGTAGTTTCCCGGGTCCTCTCTGCTCACTGCTGCCATTACTCACAATTAACTAAATGCCTCACCCCCCACCAGCCACCAAATCAGCACCAGTTTGGAAAGGGTGGCTTCCTTGTCTTACACACAGCCCCACACCTTGATATCTGTGAGGGCCGGAGGAGTCAGCCCTCTGTAGGGAAAAAGATATGCAGCTTTGCATTTGAGCTGAAAAATATATGAGATGCATTTGACTAAATAAATATATCACCTGGGAGTTAACTGTATAAATAAAATTTTAAATGTCGTCCATAATTATGAAAGTCATCGAAATTTGGTTTGTCAAAAAAAATGTAATTCTAAGCACTTAAAAACCCAGCCCTCTTTCCCTCTCTCATACAGTTTTTAGGTCATGAAGAAGTAACTGCCCGTGGACTTCCTAGTTTATGAAGGGGTGCAGGGGCCTCACCGGCCTTGTCTACTTACTCTCTAATGCCTAAGAAAGTGTCTGCCTGTTCCGTGAACTGTTACCAAATGAAATAATGAAAGAACGAACGCCTGAAACGATGGATAGGCGGATGGAGGAGATCAATTCATTCTCAGGTTCCCACCATTCCGGACTTGCTCGTGTGTTGCGAAATAATCCGTGCTATCAAAAATCAAATGTTTACTTGTGTTCCATTCCTTAACCAATTAATGTCCCATAATTTTTGTTAATGCACTAACTGGAAAGATGCGTATCTCGGGAACCAGGCATTCAGGTACAAGGAGAAGCACCCGCTGCATTTCAGGACTGCAATGCAGAATAATGGCCACGAGGGGGAGCCATAAACCTGCCAAAGAACAGCATTCAGCAACAATCGGGCTGCTGTTCACAGTGGCAGGTGATAAGGCTCCCCACGTTCCCAGGAATGCTGGATCACCACAGAACTGCTGTTGCTGCCGTACTGTTTGACAACCAGCTAAAGAGAACACGCTTAAACAAGCCTAGGGCTCCAGTTTGCTGGTCCTCCAACTCAGAAAAGCACGCCCATCTTCCCTTAGCCTCGTCCCATCTCCATCTACGTACATAATCCAGCTCATGTTTTCTGTTATCTTAGATAAGTGTAAGTAGAGGAAAAGCATTTTTCCCCCCTGTGGACAACAGTGAACATGATTAATTCATCCAGAAAAAGAAAACAAAACCGAACCTTGAAAAAGAAAAAGAAAAATTAGAGCAATGATTTCCCACTTCCTGCAACACCTTTTTTTTTCTTCTTGAAAAAGATCATTTCTTTTTGTTGACATATTCAGTTTCACACCCCCCACCCCAAGAAAAGAGGCTTCAGACGTGTGCAGGCTGATGGGGAAGTCACATCAGGAGGAATTATGACCCTATCGGTCAAGTTTCAAAGGCGTCCCATAACTGAGAGCAGGGGGGGAAAGAGGCAGTTCCCACAAGTCTCCTCTCAAAGGCTCTGAAGAATCAACACATTCCCGGGGTCATTACAAGCCACAGATGTTATCAACAGCCAGCAGCCCACCACTGAGGCTGAGCACAGGCAGGTTCTCAAGAGCTTGCCTGCAGACCAATAACTCTGAGTATATGCTCATGGCTTCTCCGAAATCCCAGGCCTCGCACACTGTGGGGAAACCTGCTTTTAGATCCATTTCCCACATACACAAAGTTGCAGAGATGCTCCAAAACAGCAATTCTCAACTGTGAGTTAAGACCCTTCTCGGGGGGGGGGGGGGGGGGTCCAACAACTCTTTTACAGTGGTCACATATGAGATACTCTTAAGTATCAGGTATTTGCATCATGGTTAATAACAGTAGCCAGATTACAGTAATAAAGCAGTAATATTGTTCACATAAGGGACAATATTAAAGGGTCGCAGCATTGGGAAGGCTGAGAAGCACTGCTTTAAAATAACAGAAATACAGGAGCAAGAGAAAATACATTCAAAAAAAAAAAAAAAACGGGAGGGGGAACTCTAGGAATCACTGGCTAATTAAAGATAAAAATTAAGTGACATGGTGAGATGCCCACGCTGGGGAAACATTCTGGAATGTGCAAGACCTATGAGAAATTCTGGTCAGCCCACACTTGCTGATCTCCTCGAGGAGGGAACCTGATTAGAAGCAGACTGTGCCCAGCATCTGTGCTGATTTCTGATTGCATCCCTCGGCCCCTGCTCACCAGCTGGGAAAACCCTGTGACCCTCAGAGGGGCCGCTGAAGGCCCACCCAGGGCACTGAACCGCCCACAAGCCAGCCCTGAGGGGGACACTGGCAGCAAACCAGGATTTAAAGAATGAAAAGGCCCTTTAATTTTTTTTTTCTTGGAAGTATGGAATTTGAGTAAACTAATTATAGCCTAATTATAACAGTGACTCTCCTTCCTGCAAAGGACTTTTGGAACGTTCTCTGTGAAGGTCCTCTCATTTGCTGTTTGAAAGTGGGAGTTGGTGACTCTCAGAGTGGATTAAAGTGACAGGTCTGGCATCTGATTTCCAGATCAGCTTCCTCCGACTAGACCACACAAACGCCCAGCTCTTGGAATAAACCCCAGTGGAATTCTCCAGAAGGAAGCCATGTTCCCAATTAGGCCAAAACAGCCTCCTCCCATCCCAGCCCCTGTGGCCAAGTGATTTTCACATTCCAATACGCATCTTCCTTTCCCACTCCCAGACACAAAGCTGGACCATCATTTGTGAAGCTCGGCTATAAACCTATGCGGATGGCTAGCTCTGTGCCCAGGGCTGAAGGCTGGCTTCCCTTACCTCATAATGCAATGCCACAGGGCAAGTCGCTTAACTGCCTCATTAGGATCATGGCCACAGCTCTGCCAGTCTCCTTCCCTGGCTCTCCTTCCCCTCATTAATATCTGTAAGGACCCATTAAGCCTTGCAGCTGACGGGTGCCATTACGGCAAAACCCGTCGCTATTATCATCAATAAGGTTCGAGGCGCTTGCCTGTCACCACCTGAGTTAAGTCAGTCACCCACATTAGAGAGTCACCCACACTTCCAGCCCACAGGTCCCTAATGAGCCACCTGCTTCTCCAAAACACCCAGATGGATGCCATGGGCGCCATCTCGAAAGGGAAGAACAGCTACAGCATGAACTTAGGGCAGTACATTTAAAGTGCCGGATGCTCATCTCCTGGGAGTAGGTGGTACCTGTGGCTGGAATGCCCTGGTGCCTAAGCCCCACCCCGCCCCTTACACGGAACCCTCTGGCCATCTAAAGGTCCTGTGTCCCCTGGGGAACCTGCTACCAAAACCCTACCTTGCTCCCTCCCTCTAAGATCCCGCTAGTCAAACTTCAACAACAAGCCAGGGGCCCTGTCTGGAGCCACTCAGAACTGAGGACGGCAGGGTAAACAGGAGATGAACAGTGCATCCATAGGGCGTGATAGATTGCTGCCGTTAAAAAGGTGAAAACGGCTGTTTTATCAGCTCACAACTGTGCTGAACTGCACAAGACCAAGCCAGTCAAAACGAGCACGGATGAATGAGGAGCAGGCATGGCCCCACCTGAGAAGGTAGTTGGTGGTGCCTGGAGAGGAACAGTTATTTCCCTTTGGGCTGTGGGCACTTGAAAACTGCCCGTGCTCCAGTGGTTACTTAACCTCACAGCCACGTTCATACAGGTAGCACTAATCAGAGGCAATGAGATCCAAAATGTTTTAAGCCATTTTTAAAAAGAGGGTGTGACGTTAGAAAGGATGGAGATAATCATAAGGCACTGTGTTACATATATGAAATACACACACACACACACACACACACACACACACAGTAAAGTGATGATTATAAAGAGATGATGAGAGGCTGAGATGAGATGGCTCAGTCAGCAAGGTGCCTGCTGGATACGTGTAAGGATCTGAGTTCGAATCCTCACCACCCATGTCAAAGTCAGGCACAATGGCTTACTTGGAGAACTCCAGCACAGGGGAGGGGGGCAGGGAAAGGTCTCAGTCCTCCTCTGCTGTGCTACATACTCAAAAGCAGTGACATCTACATGAAGCAGACTCGGTCAATGTTAGTAAAGCTGTCCCCATGGGCAGCTATGGACGCTAGGGTGACCAGACCCCTGGGCAGATGTCCACCCACTCACCATCTTGAAGTCTGGCCTCCTGGAGAGAAACCTTGAGCCAGATGTTGACACGCTGGCCCCAGGCCCCTGGGGGCTCCACCTCCCACAGGCGACCTCTCTCGCTTGGACAGGTCAACAGGAAGTGTCTGAGGACTGGAAGGGAGAGACAAACCATGAGTCAGACCCGTGCCCACCCTGGTTCAGACAGCCAGCTCTCTCTGGGTCCTTGCAGGACACTTCCATACCTTCTGTGGCTACCCTCCACCTCCTCACTGCCCTGACCCTACTGCACCTGAACGCTTTTCACTAACTTCCCATGGGTACAGAATCATCCCTGTTCACCTGTGATGGAGGGTCTTGTGCACTGTGTTTTCGGATGCTGATTTCATGCCCTGAGATCTGGTTACCACCCTGCCACCGGCATTGTTATGAGCAGGGGTGAACCATCTTTTGTATCCATGTGATATAAGGAATATTCCCCAATTATCCCTGATTGGTTACTAAAGTTGCTGATGCCTGTGACTGGGCAGAAGAGAGGTAGGTGGGGCTTAGGTGCCTGGGCTTGGGATCTCAGCTCTGAAATAAAGAGAGAAAGGAGCCATTGTGGGGCAGGATGGAGTATGAGCCTGTCACCATGAGGACAGATAGACGGGTAGAACAGAAGCAGCCCATACAGGACGACTTATCGGCAAATAGCCTGGCATGTGTAGCTGAGGAACAACAGAATAGTTTAGAGGGTTGGTATCTGCCCAGCTCCAGTGTTTTAGGCTTATAAAATAAATCACAGTCTTCCTGTGTCAATTCTCTTGAGAGCTAACCGGGTTAAAGAAAAACTGTTGCTTCATTAATCCATGTTACACACCTCACTCCCGCTTCCATCCATCCCTGCACTGATTTTCCAGGGCTGCAACTGTGGAACTGCCATTCCTTGGTATCCAAGGGTATCGGAGACCTCTGAAGGCACCAAATCCAAAGATGCTACACTTCCTTAAAATATTAGGCACGGTGTTCGCACAGACACCACGCACATCTCCCTGTGATGTTCCACCATCTAGATGCCTTTCGGCACCTGGTGCAATGTAGATGCCGTATCAATAGCTGCTAGACTGTCAGGCTTACGGGATGAAGGCAATGGAAAGGCCTGTACGTGTTTCGTACTCTGGAGGCTGGGTATGCTAGGTAGGCTGGGTTGGATTGTCCGAGGCCTCCCCTGAGCTCCTGTGTATCTTCTCAGTGTCCTCCACTCAACCATGCCTGTGCCTCCCGGGGTCTCTCTTCTTAAAAGGGTGCCTGTAACGGCTCTTCTTGGCTGTCAGCTTGACTACATGAACCAAAAGGCAAAAGGCTAGGCACACCTATGAAGGATTTTTGACCTAATTAAATCATTTGAAGTGGGGAAAACCCTCTTCTCATCCAGATCTTTGTGAGGGAAGGTCCACCTTTAAGCTGAGCCACACTTCTGCTGGCAGCCTGGGTAAAGGACGCTGAAGAAGGAAGCTCGCTCGCTCTCTTTGCCTGCTTGCTCTCACTGGGAAGTGCATTCCTTCACTGGTATTAGAGCCTCCTTCTTCAGGATTCCAGGGTATACTGAAGACCAACTGAGACATCCAGCCTCGTGGACTGAATTCTTGGACTTTCAGTTGGTGGACAGCCATTGTTGGACTAGCTGACCACCGCCTATAACCTATTCTACAATAAATCACACACATACATACATACATACATACATACATACATACATACATACATACATGTGTAAGCCATCCTAAAAAAAACCGTATACATTTATATATTAATTCTATAAATTCTGGTCCTCAAGAGCAGTGGCTCTCAACCTTCCTAATGCTGTGACTGTTTTAAAACTGTTCCCCGTGTAGTGGTGATCCCCCCAACCATAAAATTACTGTTGTTGCTACTTCACAACTGTAATTTTGTTACTGTCACAAATCGTACTGTAGTGTCTTCTGATGGTCTTAGGCAAGTCCTGTAAAAGGGCCAAATGACCCTCAAAGGGGTCACGACCCACAGGTTGAGAAGCACTACAGTAGGCCCTCGAAGCCTGGTAGACAATCCCCATTTCGCAGATAAGTGTTTTCACGTGGCAGTTGCGCCAACACCAGATAAATGACAAGCCACCGCTGGCCCTGCAGGTAACTGTGATGGTATCACCAAGCAAGCCCTCTTGCACCACTTGCGGGCTCTGAGCAAAAGCACTGTGAGAGCGGACAGGTGGAAGCATGCCGGGAAACTTTGGGCATAGCACTCCTGCCCTCCCAGCCTGACCAGCCTGGCTTCTCATCAGAGAGAGCCAGCTCCGATGGTGAAGCTCTGGGTTGATGGGAGCTGGACATCAGAATGTGGCGAGCCCGGAGAGGGGGGAGTGCCGGCCCCGTTGAGTCACTGCTAGGCCCTGGCACTGCTCCCCAGATCCCGTCTGTCCCTGAGATATTTGTTTCTGGTTACATATGTTCCTCAGCTTATGGTGAACTTACACACCAAAACAGCTGTTTAAGTGGCAATGTGTGGCATGGAACATGATACATATAAACACCTGTTTAAGCAGGCAATGCATATGATACACATAGCCCACAGAGCGGCACTGGCTCTCTTGAACATGCTAGAGGGCCGCTGAGATGGCTCGGCTGGAAAAAGCGTTCGCTGCACAAGCCTGAGGACCTAAGCTCAACCCCTGAAATGCATGAAAGAAGCAGAACATTAATTCCTGAAAGCTGCCCTCTGACCGCCACCTGAGTACACGGCATGGAAGCTTCTGCATGCTCATGTACACGCATGCACACACACATATAAAACACATACAATACACACATACATGTCCACACATACACACAGCACACATATGAACAAACATACACACAATACGCATGTACACGCATACATACAGCACATACATGCACACACATACCTACAACACATACACACACGCACACATAGTTCTAAAACATTTTAAAGAAAGAGAAAAAATAATCAGAATAGAGCCCACTGCAGGACAAAGCCATCTAACAAGTGAATATTTGCAACCAAAGCCACAGTGAATACAAAACACCACAGAATCCAGCTGTTGCCACTCTTCAGACTATATGGGAACATGCACCACAAGCCCTGGAAGACTTCACATGTGAGGTGTGGTCTCTATTGACTGTGTATTGTGCTCACTCACTATAAAATTGAAGAACAGTCTCGCACAGTGGTACACACCTGTAATCCCAGCACTTGGGAGGCAGAGGCAGGCAGATCTCTGAGTTCGAAGCCAGCCTGGTCTATAAAGCAAGTCCAGGACAGCCAGGCTACACAGAGAAAAAAAAAAAAAAAACAGATTGAAGCATCCCAAATGGTGTCACGCTAAGCCAGGGACTCTCTGCATTTCCTAGTATAACTATTTCTCTGGCAGACATGGAGTCTGTGGTATGCTGAGACTGTGGGGAGAAGCCTCAGCCTGCATCTCCCCAGAACTCCCGAGACACTCCTGCGTCAGCGGCTCAGCACAGGTGAGCAGTCTCCGTCATCCAAACGCTGACAGAGGACACAAGGTGGCTCACCTTTGTACATTGCAGGAGATACGGGACAGCTAACACCCAGGGCTTCCTCTTCTGAAAAGGTGTCACAGAAGTCCTTCAGCATGGCTGTCCCCAGGCCTTGGCAACGGTTCTTCCTCCTCACAAACACAGTGTCGAAGACAGGCAACAGGTAGCATGCACTGGTGCCATCACCACAGAGGCTGCCTGCGGGAAAGCAAGAGGCACACGCTGTCCCTCAGGCTGCGTGAGACCCACCCAGACCTCAGGAGTCCGAGGCCACTGGTACCATCTAGAGCAGAGTTAACTTCCCAGTCTGAACAAGCAATGGTTAAGATACCGGGTCACTCCAAACCACCAGTTCTCCAGTGGAGCCCGGTGGTTCTTCTGTTTTGTTTTGTTGTCTTTTTAAGACCCACATAATTAATTACTGCAAGCCCAGAAAATGGACCTGGGTCACGGAAATGAAAACACGGCCTGGGAGGCTTGAGCATCGCCAAAGCCTTGTGGACGAAGCCAGACCTCTCCCCTTACTGAGACCCTTGGAGCCAAAGAGGTTTACCCTAAGCAACATCAAAGATCTCCCTACAGTAGGTAAAGATTTATCTCAGTTACTTCAACAAAGGCTTACGGAGTCCAGTTCTGGCAAAAAGCATGGCCCTCGAAAACTCATGAACCCCACACGCTTCCTGTAGGTCATGAACAACAGGTGCATGAGAACAGGAGAGGCCAGCTTTTGCACTCCTTCCGTTTCCACCTTGAACGTAACTGTGCTGTAACCAATGTTAGCGACCAGTCAGGTGACCGGCGAAGACCTACAGATCAACGGCAAAATTAAGACTGCAGACACCCGCTCTTTTAAAATTGTTTTTCCTTATTTATTTCTTCATGTGTGTGACAGAGCATGTCATAATGCACAGGTGACGGCAGGTGTGCAGATGTCAAAGAACAACTTGTAGGAGTTAATTCTCCCCTTCTACCTACGTGGGTTACGGGACTAGAACTCCGGTCACAGTCTTGGCAGCAAACACTTTTATACACTGAGCAAGCTTGACAGGCCCAGAAACCGGTTCTTCTATGTTGATCAACACAGGCACTACCACAATTCTATAGGGAGAAAAAATAACTTTTTTTTTGCCACAAATAACAGTAGAATGATTTGATACACACAACATGTGCTGTCTGCACCCTTTCATCCCATTCCTAGTGGAGGAAGAAGCTCCTACGAACAGGCAAACATCCTATCTGGTGATAGCTCCCAGACATTTCGGAAAAGGCCAGTCTGCAGAGGTGATAGAAAGATGATAGTTGCCAGGGTGGACGTAGATGAGGTGATGGAGCACAGCGGAAACCCCTATCGACTTCAGGGCATTAAATGTTTGTCTAGATGCACAGAATGTCCGACAGTACAGGTGAGCACTCACGTTCACTATGGCCTCTGGCTTAACAATGATGTAATCTGTGGCTGACTTGTGTCCCCCTACCATTCACATGCTGAAGTCCAAACCCTTCAGAAGAACAGTGCATTTAGATAGAATGCTTTTCAAGATAGAGGGGTTAATGAGGCTATCAGGCTTCACCCTCATCCAATATGGCTGCTTTACATATAAGAAGAAGAAATATGGACCAAGAGAAATACAGTAGAGATTCACAGTGAAAAGTGGCTTCACACTAACCGAGGAGAAACCTCAAGAGAACAGGCCTGCTGGCACCTGGAACCCGGACTTTGAGCCTCTAGAACTAGGTGAAAATAAATTCCTGTTGCTTGTACCTGAGGGCTGGGTTTTTTTGTGAAAGTCTAAGGCATGCCTCCATGTCAGTTCACAGACCAAACACATGCACCGATCATGCACAACTAATCATGCTGTGAAGGTTACTTTTCGTCAACTCGATACAAACTAGAATCGCCTAGAAAGAGGAACTCTCAGTGAAGAGAGGCCACAACCAGGCAGTCCCATGAGCATGTCCACGGAGCATCTTCTCGACTAATGACTGCTGTAGGAGGGCCCAGTCCACTGTGGGTGTCCTACGCCTGGGCAGGAAGATCCTGGGTGCCCTAAGAAAGTGGGCTGAGCAGACCACGGGAGGCAAGCCAATAAGCGTAACCCCTTCGTGGCCTCTGCTTCGTTCTTGCTTTGACTTCCCTAAGTCTCCTGGAAGTGTAACCCGAAATAAATCCTCTTTTCCCAAGCTGCTCTGGATCATGGAATTTAAGACAGCAATTGAAGAAAATGAGAACGCCGTGGAAACTGAGGAGCTTAACTCCAGGAAAACTGCTCTTGTGCATCAATATTTTCCTGTTAATCTAAAGCTGCTCCAGAACTACAGTATCCCTTTTTCAATATACTAGAAGCTGAAGACTTAGCTCAGGACACCATGTTAAGCCCACCAAAAAAAGAGGCCTACTTTTAAAGTATGTTAGTTATTTGGGTTTTGGTTTTTGTTTTTAATCTGAAGTTGAACTCTTTTTCTCACATCATTTACAAAAAACAAATTCAAAATGGATCACAGATACAAGGACATGGGACAAACTTATAAAGCTTTTAGCAAGGAAAATAGAAAAATGTCTTCACAACTTTGGGCTGGGAAGGAATTCCTGGATTCAGCAACAAAAGCACAGGAAACTGGCAACTCAAACTTCATCAGAATTTTTTAATTTTTTGCTTCAAAAGACTCTATTAGGAAAAACAAAAGGCCAAGCATAGGCTGTCAACAGAAACGTTTACAAATCACACTTCTCATAAAGAGGCTTTACTGAGTTCCAGCATAAAGAGCTCTTGCAACTCAATAAAAATAAAAAACAAATATTCTCATTAAAATTACACAAAAGATTGGAACAAACCTTTCTTTAAAGAAGACATTCACATGACTAACGATGAAAGCCAGCTAACGTCACTCATAATTAAAGAAAAGGAAGCTAAAAAACCACAGCAAAATGCCACTCTGGGCTAGAGGAGCGAGAATCAAAAGGACAAGCAACAGTAAGCGGCGACAAGGACCTGCGGAAGTTGGAACCCTCACGTGTGGTTGATGGAAGCGCACAGTGGTGTAGCCAGATGGCGCAGCCATTTGGCAGTTCCTTTAAAAGTTAGATACAATCTTGCCAAATGGCCTAGCAATTATGCTCCTAGAGGCCTACCCGAAGAGGAAGAAAAACACGCAAACGAGTAAGACGATGTTCATTGCCAGGCATGGTTAATCTCAGCACTCAGGAGACAGAGGCAGGCCAATCTCCCTCTGTGAGTTCGAGGCCAGCCTGTCTACATAGTAAGTTCCAGAACAACCAGTACCATTACACAGAGAGACCCCATCTCAGAGAGGGACAGATAGAGAGAGAGAGACTGTTTATAGCCGCCCTATTTATAGTAGTAAAAGGGAAACAGCCAACTAACCAACAGATGCACAATAAAATAAAGTATATTCATAAAGGCAGAAACATATGGCAATAAAGGGAAACACAACACGAAAGCACACCATTATTCGCTCCGAAACACGGCGGTAAGTGAGAGCATGATCTGATACGACACCTGGTACATGGCAACAGGCAGAGGCAGAGGGCGGCTCGGCAATTGCCCAGGGCTGAGACGGAGCCAGACAGCAGGCAGACACCATCCAGAGATAACAGGAATGTCCTAACCCTGGGTTTTGGTAATAGTTACACAGCCCCTTAAAGTCACTGCATTCCCTGAATTTTACACTTAATTTAGGCAAATTTCATGATGCAAAGTTATCCTGCAATAAGAGTGTATCTTGAAAGATGCAATGAGAGCATGAACGATAAGGTGGACACAATTTGCAGCTGTCTGCTCTCCATTCTGTAAACAACCAGGAGAAGCTTAACAGCTCCCAACACAAAGGGGCAGATCTCTACAGAGATCAGTTATTCAGATTTGACGACATCTCAGATAATCACACCTCACCTCGTAAATGTCTAATCATGTGTCGGTGTAAAACTAAAAAGAATACACTGAGCCAGGCTGTCCTCAGACTTCCACATCCTCCCATGGTACAGGCTCAAGCTCCCCTCCTATGCCCATCCACATGAACATGGCAAATGCACACATACACACGTAGACAGACTTAGAAATAAGAGGCCACGGCAAACCAGTGTGAGAAGGAAGGTGTGGCGACCTCCACGTGGCGAAGGGTGGCAGCTGGCGTGGAAGTGTCTTCCGTGGAGCTCGCTGTGGGCGGCTTGTTCCACAGCTGGCGGATCCAGCTGCTGAGCAGGTCCCGGGTCATGAGGACTCTGAAATGATTGACGGATTGACCCACTTATTGACCCCCAACCAGGTGGCATGAGGAGGTGGGACTTGAGTGGGGGAAGGAGGTCATGGGAAGGGTCTCTCTCTCTCTCTCTCTACTTCCAGGCTGCCAAGCTCATGATCATATGAGGCTATACTCTGGCCTCCACTATCCCCTTCCACCCGACAGTAGTCTCTGGCTGAAACAGTGTAGCCAGATGACCATAAAACTGTGAGCCAAATAAAAACAAAACCTCCTTTCACAAGTGTTCTGTCATAATGACCAAAAGTGACTGACATCCCTTCCCCACCCCTTGACTCGGACATTGATCACTGTTATCACCGATCCTGATGTCGATCCATGCAACACAGGCTCACACATGTGACAAGAAGGCTGCTCCCCATCCCCCACCCCCTAACCCTGTCTAGTCATCAGAAAACATCAGACACTAAGAATATCCTACAGATCATTCAGTTTGTCCTCCAAGGTCCAGATGATGAAATACAAGGGGAACCAACAGTCACAGAGTAGAGAGGAGGCTCGGGAGAGCTGGCAGGGAGAGGTGGGGAAGGGCTAGGTGTTCACTTGTCTATCCCAGAAGAGAAAACAGACACTGATGGGAAATCAGCCAAGGGTGATTGAACACTGTACTGTGATTACATAAGCTACAGATGTCGGAGAAAGCACTGGACAGCACAGGGGGCCTAACTGTCCTTGCCATGCTTCTGGAAACCTCTCAAAATCAACGTCTGGAGAAAAGGAAGCAAAATTACTTTACCAGTGCCTTCTAAAGGCTAACCACACCTTCAAACCCGTCACATAAAATCCATCTTGTAAAACAACTGCCGAGCCAGTTCTTCTAGAACCCCATTACAAACAGGAGCAGAAGAAATAACATGTCTGCACTAAGCTAACTCTCCGCTCATAACTAGGACAGAAGGACTATGGGAAATATTGGGAGG